CCAGGGCCTGTTTGCATTGTGGCGTCTCCTGGAGATGGTGGACTGCAGCTGGCTCTGCCGGCCACCCGCAAGAAGCTGGTGAGACGGCACCATTGCCTCCTCTCCTAACACTATTGTTTGGTCCCCTGCCTTTAGCTCAGCATATAGTAGTCTCTGTGTCCTCCCAAACACAGTGTCTTCTCTGAGTGTTAGGGTCTTTTGTTTGGAAGCCCCCTCATTCTGGAGCATTGTTCATAGTGGTCATGGGACACTATGAATAGTTGGGAAAGAAATGGATGTGGATTTACACGTGTTTCAAATCCTAACCCAAGCTGCTGAGCACGATGATTTTGTACTGTGAAACAAACAAACAAACAAACAAGCAAAGCCTGTAAAAGAAAGACAAGATAGAAAACATTTATCCTGTTACAAAAACTAACTCTAAGCACAGACCCTACTCTTCCTTTACAACAATGCAAGCAAAAGAGCAAGTAATTTGATTCATTTGTGTAGGATTCCTTTGTATTTTTTTTCCCTGTTTGGCTTGCAAAGAGAGTTTCCATTAACTTTAATGTGAAATATGTATGAATCTCTAGAAAACACTCCTTTGAGACTCCCCAAAGAGCAGTGAAGCTATGGAAAAAAATTTCTTTGTGCCACAAGCAAGGTGCGGCCCTGAGTATTGATAATACATTTAGTTCCTTATAGCAGTACATCTACTTGTTGAGTGGACTCAACTTTTTTTCTTTTATAGCATTTGTTCTAAGTCCAAAAGATCAGTGCTGCTGATCTTCTATGCCACATTCACAAGCCTTTACATTTTTTTATTAATTCTTATCAAAGTAGTATATGCACAGGTTAAGATGAAAAGTAAGACAAGTCCCTTATTATGAAAAGTAAGACTGCTCTTCCAGCACCTTCCTATTTCCTGTTTTTCTGAGAGGTGACCACTTCATTATGCTTGCATTGATTAATGTTTTTTTAATAGATTATTATTATTATTTTTTAAAGATTTATTTATTCATACAGAACTGGGGTACAGGCACAGCCCTCTCTCTGCTCCTCCTCATTCCTGGTGTTTGCTGCCTGGAGACTGGGGAAGTGCTGGGAGATTTCTGTGCAGAGGTGCCAAGCTCTTGAGTTAGGTAATGAGGATTTCATTTCACGCACACAATGGGCAAGGAAACTAA